CGGGGAGACCCGGCCCCTGACGGGGACAGGGGAGGGGGACCCCAGGGAGAGAGGGGTCCCCAAGGGGGGGTCTCCAAAGGCAGGAGGAGGCTCCCAGGGCGAGGGGGGTCCTCAGGGCGAAGGGGGTCGCCAAGGGGGGGTTCTCCCGCAGAAGGAGGTCCCCAAGCAAAATGGGTCCCCAAGGTGGGACAGCCTCTGTGGTGAGGAGGTCCCCAGGGAGGGAGGCTTGCCATGGAGAATGGCCCCCGAAGAGAAAGGGATCCCCAAGGTGGGTTTCCAGAGGGAGGAGGTACCCCAAGGGGAGGGAGGGGTCGCCGGGGGAAGGGGGTCTCGAAAAAAGAGGGTCCCCATGGGAAGGAGGCTCACGAAGGGGAAGGGGCTCTATGGAGAGGGGGGCTGGGAGTCCCTGGGCCCCCAGAACATGGGTTCCCACCCCAGCACCACGGGGTCCTGCTGACACCCCACGGGGGATGAGGGCTGCAGAGTCCCCGGCTCTGTCTGCGCTCCACCAAGGTCCGGACATGGACGTGGTGTGTGCCCCTCCGCGGTCACCCCCAGGGTGACTGCTGCACAGTGCCGCAGCCCCGGTAATTCTCTCAGGTGTCCCCAGGCCTCACATCATCGCCGAGAAGTGGCTGATGGTGAACAAAGAGGAGGTCCTGCTCGAGCGAGGCTGCTCATCGTCGTCTTCTTTTCTTTCAGGGGGATTACACCTGCACCTTCACATACTCAGCTCAGGGAGGAACGAACGAGGTGAGTTGGGCAAACCTTCATGTGTTTCCCTTACGCTCAGTCTTTACGGCTGCACAGAGTGAGAAGCTGTTCGGGACGATTTTGTTTGTGATGAGCTGATTCCAGGGACCGGGAGCTGTGAGGAAGGGTGGTCGCACCGTTTCCAACGCTGTATGTTTGCAAAAGTAACTTGTTGGATTTGCTCCCTGAACAGAAGCATCCTTCCTGTGTTCCAGTGATGCTGTGGTTCGCAAGGCCGTGACATTTGTAAGGCTTAACAGATCTCTGGGCTGGATGTCTCTGGAGAACAGGGAGTGACATTTTCATACCCCAGTTGGTAGGAAGGACCTCGTAAGAGTAACTCCTGTGTTCTTTAGGAGGCTTGAAGGTATTTTGCAGCTTGTGTTGCTGCTGCAGTAAGTGCTGTGCAGATACACAATTTGTACTTTCTTATCTGCAAGTCCTATTAGAATCAGGTCCTTTTAGTGTAAAGGGAAATGAGACTTTAACTCTTTTCTGTAACTGTACTAATGAAATCGTGGAGAGGAGAGGGCAACCAGGCCTTGAGCTTTGTGTAACACAAAGTAAAAGGGGCTATCAGCAAGCGTTGTGTGGTTATGTTGTGTTGTTTTAGAATGGTTGAAACTTGCCGTGCCTGCAGCTGGGAGGAGAGGTGACTGGCCTCAGGGGTGAGCGGGAAGTGGGAGGCTCTTACCCACATTAACTGTTTGGACCTTTCCCCTCTGCAGCAATGGCAGATGAACATTGGAGTCAGTGAAGACAACCTGTTCTTCTCCTGCTCCGTCTGGAGGTGCGTTCTTTAACCCCAAACTCTCTGAGACAAAAGCAACAACAAGGCAGGTGGGATCTGGGCCAGGGACCCTGCCTCCCGGCTGGGTTTGCCTCCCAGCCAGATGGCACCGGAGGGCTTTTCCCTCCCAAGAGATACTGTGACTCTGGGTGGGCTCTTTAGCCAGGCAGTGGTTGATAAATGCTGTGTTCCCCCCTTTCCCCCCTCTACACTAGATGGAGCTACAAGAGAGCCAGAGGTGGCTGTGGAGGGAGGGAGCCATGAATCCTGAGCTCGCCTGCACCTCCACCCTCTCTGCCGATGTCAAAGACTCTGCTTTCTTGTTTCAGGCCCCAAGGGAAGTCTTATCTCTTCTTTACCCAGTTTAAAGCTGAAGTGAAAGGAGCCAAGATAGAGTATGCCATGGCTTATGTAAGTCCCAGCTGATCACTTGGAAGCAGGCGCGTGGGAGGCTGCTATAACACATGAATTGGGCATGGAAGACATTTATTAGACATGGTGCAATAAAACGTACTCCATCACGTCTCTAATTAGAGAGTGGTGGCAGTCAGGAGAGAGGCCGCAAGTAGCCTCTCCTGCACCATTTTATTTCGGCTCCCTCAACGCCATCGGTTTGCTGCTGGCTTTGCCAGCCTCGCTGACTCCAAAAGACACGGTCCTGCCAGGGTGCGCTGCACAAGGGGAGCCTTGGTTTGCCTCAAGAAATTGCATCTGACAAAGTAAATAAAAACTCTGCTGGTGCTTTTGTCTGGCTCGTTCTTCCATTTCCCAGTCTTCGGTGGTGAGGCTTTCAGTCACCCGAAGGACACAAGTTTGTGGTTTAATAGGAAATGGAAAAATAGCCAGAGATTTTCTTTCAAATTTCCTTTGTGGATTTAATTCTTTCACTCCACGTTATTAAAACACAAGTTCATTCTTCAAAATGTGCTGTTTGTTTGCTTTAAATACAGTACCTTCTTGGATTGCCTCAGCTACTTAATCCTTCTTCCTTCCCATTTTAGTCTCAAGCTGCGGCGGGTGGACAAAGCGACGTCCCCTTAAAACAGGAAGAATTTGAAATCACCGAAACAACAGGTCTGTGACCGAGAGAACTGTGTGAGAAAGGGTCTGGACTGGGAGACAAGCCTGGCTGGCTACCAGGAGACGAGTATTTAAGCAGATAGCTGACAATGTATAGGAGACCAGTGCATGTTCTCGCCCCAGGAGTCGGGGGTATAGTGCTCTTGATCCATAGCTGGTGGCAGGATTTTGCAGGTCCCGTTCCAGTGTAAACGTTAAATTAGCATGGGGGAAGAACGGGTTTATCACAATGTGCTTATTGCGTGCATAAAAAGGAAGTGCAATGCCCGACTTGCTGGCTTTATCGTCTTGGAAATGAACCAGCAGGGCTGTTTTGTTCATGCCTTACCATCTGTTTATCCTGTGCTTGTCTTCTCTCTTTCTAGTGTCTCACAGGGAAGGCAAGTTCCGCTTTGAACTGTCCAAACTCATGATTGTAGCAAAAACACCCCACGACGAGCTGTGACCCTGAGGCCAGTGCTGGGCAGGGTGTTTTGGCCAGAAGAGCATGGCAGATGAAGAGGATTACTTGTTAACTGCGGGTTTTTTTGGTTGGCCAAACCTTTTATGTTTTCCATATTGAAACGTGCTAGGGTCCAACACAAGTGGGGCTTGGAGGTGTTAAGACGGATGCATTCTGTCTTGTGTCAGAGTAACAATGTGCTTTGCAGCTGGAAACCTCCTCTGAGACTCCTGATCTGCAGCCAGCCATTCTGTCGCCCGCTTTCTGCTTGGTTGATCTGCTGAATATGGTAAAGCTCCCCTCGAACGGGGGCTCCTTATCTCCCTTGCTAGGAAGAGCAATGCAGAAAGATAAGTGGCTGGATTTAAACAGGGTTTGCTAAAGGAAAGTTGTTAACTCTCTAGTCTCTGGAGGGGAGACAGGATTTCTCTCTCTGCAAGCATGACAGGAGGAAGTAATTAAATTGGGGGGGGAAGGAAGGGGTAGGGTTGGCCAAAGCTATCTGACTCCTTGTTGAGCACAGCTACGGCAGACCGTCGCTGCCTTCGCTGGGGAGGATGTTCTGGACCTGCCCTAGTGCAGAGCGCGGGTTGGGATAACTTGGCATGGGGAAGGCAGAGCTGCTTATTCTGACACAACCCAGGAATCAATCCAAGCAACACTTTCGTGTCTCAGTACAACTGCAGGACTATTTTCTATGTACAGAAGTGATTTTTTTCTTATCTAGAGTAATAACAGTGAGGGAATGTGGAATTCCTTTCCTGTGTAAATACAACACAAATAAAGAAATAAAGCATCATGCTCTGGCCTGAGCTTGCTCTGCTCTGTGACTCCTGCCCTCTCCAACTGGATGCCCAGCGAGCGGCGCGACCTTCGGCGTTTGCTTGGCCAGGAGGAGCCGAGATGTCACACGGGAGTTTGGAGGCTGCAGGGGGTTTACGGGGGTTCTGCCCACCCGAGAGGAGTCCCAGCACGTGAGGACAAGACTCCAGCTGTAAGTTTGCATAACCCGGCACTCTCATGACGAGTGCTTTTGATGCCCGGTGATGGTTGTGGTCGTTGGCAGCTGCTTTGCCCATTTTGGGGGGGGACTTGCCTGTTTTTTGGCAGCCTGGGGGTGCTTTGCACTGGGGATTTTACAAGCTCTGTTGTCCAGGCTGCTCCTAAATGCTTCTTTCTCTGCTGCGCAGCTGCTTCTGGATCTGCAGATAACCTGCAGGGCCCAGGGGTGTCCCCAGCGTGCTCCTACCTGAGCTCTGAGACGCGTTTAGGGTGCTGATGTTGCAGGTCTCTGACCTCTCTCCCTGTTTAACCAGTCGCTCGGAGGGAACCAGACCAAAGGGAGTTGAAGGGACTCATTCCCCACACTTGTACAGCCAGGGTTGGGATGGGAAACCCAGGCCATAAGATGGCTCTTCTAGCAGAGAGTGTGCTCTCCAGGGCTTCCCCGGGACAAAAAGGCAAGAGTTTGGGAACGAGGTGGGTGTTTGCCGTGGGGCGTGGGGGAGAAGTTTCAGATTAGACACCTGTATGCGAAGGAAAGCTGGTGCCAGGCATTTGGTGGGTTAAGTGCTGTCCTGGGGTGTACGAAACCCTGGGGACAAAGGGAACAGCCGTGAGCCGGGGCTCGTCTGAGCAGAGATGTTTCGTGCAATTAAGGAGCATCTTGCAGCTGGTGCCGACGCGCACCTCGAACAGCACAGCGAAGCGTTTCTGGCTGTCAGCGCGGCAGCCGCCGCCACCGCATCCATCAGCCCCGTTCAGCTCTGCCTGCTCGCCGCATCTGCCGATAACTCCACCGAGCTGTTTCCAGCTCTGGCTCCTCTTCAGCACATACCTGACAGCTGCCGCGAGCCCAGGGGGGGACGGGAACGTCTGTTCTCAAATGCCGCGCGCCAAAGGCCGACTTCACCCTGCCCTCCCCGAGGGACCACCACCTCGGTGGAGCTTGGCCGCATTCTCCTCCATGCAAATGTGCTTTACCCTCCACCCCGAGCTGCGTCACGCAATTGAATTAGCTGCGATAGCTGGAGCCAGGCCTATGAAATGACAGAGATAGCGGCTTTATTTCTTTTATTTAATCTTTAAGGCTGAAAGTTATCAGCGCTTCGAGCCAGCGGTGGAAGGGGAGCAGCGAACGGGAGCCGTGGAGCCGCTCTCTGCCCACGAGCGTTGGCAGCCTCCTGTGCCTGGAGACATCCCATGGAACAGGAGGCACAAGAAGGTTGCGGAGATAAGGCCGGCTGAAATTGTGCGGCATCTTGTATGCTAAAAGGGCAATTTTCGGTGTTCAAAGCTGAGATCAGCGTTTTGGAAGCGGGCCACGGCTGGTGCATCCATGCTCTGAGAGCACAACGCTTTTACAACACGCCTGTATTTAATTCTGCAAAGTTGCCCGTTGCTTTCTGCTCTCAGGGTTGTGCTTTTCAAGCTCCTGCTGTGGAGCGAGGGGACGCGGGGATGCAGAGGAGCACGTGTGAGCGTCTGCGTGGGAGCAGGATCCGCTCCCCCCGGGCCCCCGGACCTTTGCTATCGGTTTGCGCTGGGTTTTGCCCCACGTTTCCTCCCACCAGTTCAGCGCCGGCCGTGCAAAGCCCAGAGCTGCTGTGCCACGGTGCAGGGGCAGCCCGGCCGGCAGCGATGCCGGGGGACGGAGAGTAAAAGCCCCAGGCCGCAGGGAGCAATCGCCATTTAAAAGACGAAACCGACTGCCCCCGGCACTCATTTTATCGCTGCCGACCGCCTTTGTATCAACCACGTGGAGCACCCAGGCCAAACAGGTGAGTTTATTTAAATAACTCATCAGGGCTACAGAGTTTGCTAAAAAATAACAACCATAACTCAGTCGAGGACATGTAAAACGTACAAAATCCTAGGGAGAGCTTTGGACAACCACCAGGGAAGGAGACGGAGCCATCACAGTGGTACTGTCGCGGGAGGCTGGCGGGGGGAGTTGGGTCTTGGGTGAAGGGGTGTACCTGGGATGCAGGGAAGGAGCAGGTCCCTCCAGCTCCCTCCCTGCCCCAAGGGACAGCCGCTTGCCCAGGTGAGGTGGGATCCTTCTGGTCTCAAGGACTTGTCTTTTAGGAAGCCAAAGCCCATGCTAGCCTGCAAGGTGCAGAAGCACCTTCCTACCCTGGGCAGCACAAGTCTGGACCATGATTTCCTCCCACCATGTCATGGAGCTGCTGAAAGAAAACCATGGGGCTCCACAACCTTCCGGTAATAGGGTCTCACAACCCTTCATCCAACCAACTGCCCACCCGCTCAGAGACACCTTAGAGGTGTTACACACCACGGGTCTTTGGTTTGGTTTTCCCCCAGGAGGGTTACGATAGAGTTCAAGGTGAGGAGTCCAGTTCCTTGGACTCTGAGCTAAGAGCACTTGGTGGGCAAAGGAAATCAAACTGTACAGCGGGAGCCCAGAAGCCCAGGATCACCTGGAAAGGACTCAGTCCAGCGCAGGGCGGGTTTGCAGACCCCAGGCAAGGGTTAGACAAAGTCAAGAGGTTCAGTCTTTTGTAGAAACGAGGAGAAAGTGAGTTAGCACTACAGAGGAGAAGAGGACGTCAAGCCTGGTGATGGTCAAAACAGGCGTACATCCTGTCCTCGGTCTCACAGAAGGCAGAGTCTGGCAGTTGCTGCCGATAGCCCATCTTGGCCAACTTCATATGTTGTCCTCCTCCAGCATCTTGTTAACCCCTTCGCAGATCCTCTTCAGGTGGGTGCGGTAGGGCTCGGATGGCCCGTAGAGAGCCGAGAGGAACTCGTAGTCCGCAAAGTGATTGAAGACGTGGTTGATGCGGGAGTGGGATTTGGCTGTCAGGTGGCCGTTGACAGCCTGGTGCAGCAGGTCCCGGCACTCCGTGAGGACACCCGACATGACCCGACGGTCAAAGGTGAAGTCTATCTGGTGGAAGCTGACGGCCGTCATGGCCAACGTATGCACCTTCTTGCGGAAGCGCTCCATCACCAGCAGCTCCTCGGGGTTGAACTGCCCATTGCGGTAGAGCACGCCCAACTTCATGACGATCTTGATGAGGTTTTTGATGATCTTCTGGGCCTCTTTGCGGTTGTGGGTGTACTCCTTGGTGGCCCGGTAGAGCTCATCCAAGATCTCGCTGCTGGTGTCGTCAATGAAGACGTTGGCTATGGTCTTGGTAGCCATCTTGCTTAAGAGCTTCTTCTGGGCCTGGAGGGCCAAGTTCTTGGTGCTGAAGGTGTCCATCTCTGCAGGGAGAAGAGGCACACACACAGTTCAGCCCATGCCCTGGATCAGTCCCCATCCCTTCTCCTCCCCACGCAGCCTTTTGGGAGGAGGAGGAGCGTCTCCAGCCAACGGCAAGACCAAGAGGAGCTTCTGGGTGCCAGGGCAGGCACGAGCTGAGCTCACGCCCCGGGTTTTGTTGGTGGGATGAGTTACATGGTGTTCCCACCTTCCTTCCCCCAAACTCTGGGGAGAATCTGCAGCGCGACGGGCAGCATCAGAGACGAGCGAGGTCTCCATACCTGAGTGTCGCCCGCAACCTTCCATCCACGTCTCCTTCCTGCAACTGGCGCCGCCCTCCTCCCCGTGCAGGAAGGACTCTTGCCCCATCATTTTAACGTTTTTCTTCCTTAAAACCTGACTCATTTCCTGCAGAGTGAGTTGGGGACAGCCCAGGTGATGGCTGAGTCACCCACCGCAGCCGGCACGGCCACGTGCTGGCGTACAGCCCGGCGCTCGCTGAGGCTGGGACGGCACAGCCGGTTTGCAGCACCCACCGATGTGCATTGAAGCCCTTTTCCCCGGTGCTGCCCGCCCTGGTATGCCCACGCCGTCGGAGCTCGGACTTGTTCTGCCGCCATCTCGGCTTCCTCCGGAGCTTCCACGAGCATCGCACGGAGGTGAATAATTCGGCAAGCCAGAAACCTCACCCCTTGCTCACCTACAGCCCGACTCCCCGCACCCCAGCGGGACCAAATCAATCATTTTGGGCAGATGACGGCTTTAAAAACTGCTGTGAATAAATAAAACGCTACCGACCCTGGAGATGCATCTTGCCCCGGGAAATCGCAGAGCTACAAATCACAGGGAGGCGAGAACAGCATGATAACAACCGGCTCCCGTGCCAGGATGGATGGGCAGAGATGGGGGTTGCTTATGCAAGAGCCTGCACGTGGCACGGTCAGCCTGGCAAAGCGAGAGCGGGGAAGGGATGGGATTGCGCTATAAATACATCACCGGGGAGGGGAGTAGAGCTATTTAAGCTAAAGGATGCTGCTGGTGTGAGAATGGATGGGGATAAATTGGCCATGGATATGGAGAGGAGAGTCTCTCATCCGCAGCCCCGCCGACTATTCTAGCGCAGAACTGACTGTCCCCATCATGGGCAGCCCTGCGGACACCCCCGGCCGAGCCGCCGCGCAGTCCCAGACCCCATCTGGGGATCCTCGATCCTGCTCCTACCACCACGGAACGCACGCCGGGCTCTCAGGACCAAACCCCGGCTTCCCATGGGGCTCAGATACCCCGCTGTGGCCAAGGCTCCGTCTCACTGCAGCCGGTCATGCAAAAGCAACGGTGCAAGGGCGACGGTGCAAGGGCAACGGTGCATGGGCGATGGTGCAAGCTAGCCCTGGCTTCCCAGGCATCTTCCAGCCGCCGGCTCCCCGAGCCTGAGGGCGGCCGAGGCTCTGCGAGGGCGTAAATTAAGTGAGTGGTAACGGAGCCGCCGTCACTGTGCGAGCTGCTGCATGCGGCGTTATTTACAGCCCTTAGGAAAAACACAGAGGTTTGCAAGTATTTCCTTCAATGTGAAAACATTGATT